CAATAAAGCAAGAAGTGTCGTATATGAACGAATCTACAGTACAGGAGGAGTCATATTCCGACAATTTTGATTGTTATAATTCAGATAACATACCATTTAGACAAAAATCATCTTCGAAAGAACTTGGGAAAAAAGCGCAAGCAACATTGGAGAAAGAGTTAGCTCTGACAGCTGATAGGTTGCAGGATTTACATGGATCCCTTGTAGCTAGACCGACTGAGGAAGAAAGAGCAGAAGATCCACAGGGCTTAAAAGTAAAATTAATGCCGCATCAACAACACGCATTGGCATGGTTAATGTGGAGAGAACAACAGAGGCCTCCTGGCGGTGTTCTCGCTGATGATATGGGTTTGGGTAAAACCTTAACAATGATATCTTTGGTTATAGCCAGTATCGCTAAAAGAAAATCAGGAGTGGAGGAATCGGACAGCGAGGAATGGATGGATTCTAATGCATCGACGAAATATTATAAAGGAGGTACGCTTGTAGTTTGTCCTGCGTCATTGTTATCACAATGGGAGAATGAAATAAATCATAGATGTAAACGTGGTATGCTGTCCGTTAAAGTCTATCACGGCACAAATCGGGAGAATGTGCCAAGAAAATTAGCAAAATACGACGTTGTTATTACTACGTATAATCTTTTGACTCGTGAATTTAAGAGCAACTCTACTGCCTATAAGATTTATTGGGAACGCATTATACTGGACGAAGCGCACGTAATTCGAAATCACAAAAGTCAAGCTTCCCAGTCAGTATGTGGTCTGGTAGCCCGCAAACGATGGGCACTCACTGGTACACCAATCCAGAATAAGGAAATGGATTTATATTCTGTTTTAAAATTTCTCAAGTGTTCTCCTTTCGACGACATACGAGTATGGAGGCGTTGGGTAGATAACAAATCAGCCGCTGGCCGTCAACGATTGGCGACCGTGATGAAAACATTGATGTTACGTAGAACGAAGCAGGAACTTCAAGCTAAAGGCGCGTTGGAAAGTCTTCCGGAAAAATTTGTAGAAGAGATATCTGTAAAACTAGATTCAGACGAACAACTGGTGTATGAAAAAGTATTGATATATTCTCGTACGTTGTTTGCTCAATTTTTGGCTCAAAGAGCTGAAAAGGATCATATGATCGATTTAGCCGTTGGAAAATACGATAAACCAGCATTTCTTTCGAATCCAAGTAAGTATACGCGAATATAAAAATTATACGCTAATCGAAAATTGAAATGTATATACATTTATTGATTTATTTGTTGATAAAATGCCAGATAAAAGTACTCAGTTCACGAAGGCGCAGAATAAATTATTATCGTTACATGCGGATGTCAAAGCCCATGAAATTTTGGTTCTCTTACTAAGGTTACGGCAAATTTGTGTTCATCCGTCGCTTATTCGTTCGATGCTAGATGAAGAAGATATCAAAGAGAGTGGTATAACAGAGTCAGAAAATTTAGATTCAAATTTATTATTACAAATAAATAAAATAACACTGGATGATGAGCGAAACAACGAAGAAGATACAAATGAGGCAGAGATTGGCGTTGATCGCAGAGTGGCTGCCAATTTACTCACGTCTAAGAATCCTGTGTTCAAGTCCGATCGTATAAGTTCGAAAGTGAGTTATCTTCAGTTATAAAATATCACGTGTTTGCTTCACTTGGTTTGGTTTACGAATCCAATGTATTTCTATATTTAATTTCTTGAACATAGATAAAATTAGTGCTTCATACAGTCGTGGAAATTTTACGAAAAAATGATAAACTGATCATTGTTTCTCAATGGACAAATACACTGAATATTGTTGCATCTTGTTTGTCCTCGATAAAAGGCGCCAGTTTTGATATGTTTACGGGAAGTGTACCGATCAAGGAAAGACAGGTAGTTTCCCAATGAAATAATCATTTACGATCGTATCAAGCAATTCTGTTTCAAGCGCACGAGATATCTTTATATCTTTGTATCTTTAGGGTATAATGGATTCGTTCAACTCTCCGAACAGCAATCCAAAAATATTGTTGCTCTCACTTACCGCTGGAGGTGTTGGATTAAACTTGGTAGGTGGGAATCATTTGTTGTTAATTGATATTCATTGGAATCCGCAATTGGAAGTACAAGCTCAAGATAGGATCTACCGCTTTGGACAGAAAAAAGATGTATTCATATACAAGTTAGTAACTGTCATTGCTCTGTGTTCGCAAAAATTCGCGAGAAGGGAAGATGATTACATCATTTAATGTTGCATTGTATTTCTTAGATTCATCTGTAAGGATACGATAGAAGAACGGATAAAATCTTTGCAGGAAAGGAAAGTGGAAATAGCTCAAAATGTTCTCAGTGGTGATAAAAACTCTGCTGTCTCAAAACTTACACTTGATGACCTAAAGTCACTATTTGCTCTTTGAAGTCTAAATCTTTTCACGTGTTTTAAACTCGTTTATAATATTTATAATATGATGCAAAGAATTTTCTTAAATACTTTAACCTTTTTTTTTATCTTCAAAACAAAGTTAGCGACCAGCCAATGTAATTCAGTGAACAAATTAAGTTGTATGTATAAAATTTTTATTATAAAAGCAAAATACAGAAAGTAAAATGCATTATTGAAGTCTGGGAAAATTATTGGTTTCCCATGTTACTCCATTATCACAACCATTTTCAGATAATTTCGTACATTTACCTTTTCTCATTTTACTGTGCCAAACGCCGTAACAGAAGTATATTCCAAGTCCTGGGAGAAGTAGAAGAATGGTTTTTTTTCAATTTAATTGAAACGTGATTAATTTACATAGTTTACTTACCGACTATTATCCATATTAAAAATCTTATCCACGTCATTTTATCCAACATCACCATAAGATATACATTAATAAGAATACTGAAAGCGGGTAAAAATGGCACTAATGGCACCTAAAAACGTGTACGTGGTAAAAACTAAACGTTTAGAATAAAGCGTAATTATATCGATAACAATGATAATAAGAACTAAAACAATATGTACCGAAAAGGCAAGCTTCTTCCCAGAAGACGGTTGAAGATAAATGAAAGTAAGAGTGGCGATTAGGACTAGTAGCAGAACTGCCAGTAGAATAATAAAGGCAATTTTACCGCTTGTTATTTCATCGATAAAAATCGAAATAATAATGGCAATGCAAATACATAAAATATCTGTAAAGCGCACGTTACTTGATAAGTGATAAAGTAAACTCGTTAAAATTCAGTAAACCTATTTGTTAACACTGTATGAATATACCGTAACATACGACGAGACAGGCAACAATTTGAGACGTTAATTTCGTAGAATGATTTAAACCGTTAGCGTTAATCAGCTGTTTCGCAATGAACCTCAGGGTTCTTGGATCGCGATCTCCCTTCTTTTCATACGCTTCACTTTCTTCATACCTGAAATGACAAGACAACTCGAAAGTGAAGTGAAAACCCTGCCCCTTGGTTAAATCTTCATATTTTCTATAAAAATGAACGAATATTCTGTTCTTCTGTACCGAAGTATCAGCACGCAAGTTGCGACGATCGAATATGCGAGCAACGTTCCAATACTCATCATATTTACGAGTTGAGGTAAATCAAATATCGCAGCTAATACACCTGAAAAAAATCATGAAATATATCTCGCGCGTTTAACAATCGATACAAATATCCATGGACATCGGATGGAAAAAAATTCTCGCACACGAACCCGTGAGAATTCCCGCCGAAAAGGTGCCCATGAGCGGCGTATGAAATCGTGAGTTAACTTTTCCCATCCACTCGAATATCAGTCCGTCGGATGCCATCGCGTAAATAATTCGTGGCAAGGGAAACATCGCGCCCAGTAAACTGCGCAAAAATATGCTTGTCACTTGTGTACATCGGTAATTAGCCTTTATAGATATTTATACACACACGCATATCGCATTACGAGAGCGTCTAGGTACACGGAGTTTTACCTGGAACATAGACCACAAATAGCACCTATGGTTACCAGCCATTTCGCCCAATTCCAACCGATACTCTCGAACAGATGAGGAAACGGGGTTTCTGGATCTTGCTCGTAGTAAGGAAGGACGGTCGTTAATACTGTAGCAACGCCGAAATACGCCAGAAAGACGACGGTCAACGAGGCGACGATCGCTATTGGGATCGATCTTTGCGGATCTTTCGCTTCCTCCCCGGTAGTGGCGACGCAATCGAAACCGATGAATCCGTAGAAGCACGTTGCTGCTCCTGTTATGACACCGGCTATACCATAAGGCGCGAATCCTCCGATTCCGTAATCACATTTCTCATCAGTGCACGTAGGCTTCGTTTTCCAATTGGTTATGTCAGCTGTGTCCCAAGCGCGTACACATAAATAGAATCACTCGTGTGTGCATGCTTGTACAATACGAGCACGTGCACGCGTAACTATAGTGCGTGTAGGTAAGTATGTATATAGTGGCGATTAGTTTCAATTCAGTAACACGTACCTTTGAGAGACCCGGCAATTATAACGAATAAGACCACCGAGAGGTTCACCAATGTGAAGAAATTATTCGCCACCGAAGACTCCTTCGCCCCGAACGCCAGTGCAGCTGCGTTTAATTTCAAGTAAATTAATCAAAATCCGAAATGAACGATCAGATGAAAACGATCGATACTGATATCAATATAAATTTCGGAGACGGTGCCTCCTCACCGGAGAAGATTAGAGTGATGCCAAAGGCAAAGAAGTCCGGATAAGAAGAGAGATGACTGATATCGATAGGCGCCGCTGTCTCGAACGCGTTTCGCATAGTATTGTTGAACAAGTTGTCCACGTAAGTGCTCAATCCTCGTACCACGCTAGCCGAGCCGATCACGTATTCGAGAATCAGCGTCCAACCGATCAGAAAGGCTGTAAATTCTCCCATGGTTACGTAGCTGTATACGTACGCTGATCCAGCACGTGGTACTCTGGCGCCAAATTCCGCGTAACAGAGCCCTGGAATCGTTCATATCGTTCACGAGCAAATCGAACTCGAAAGAAGAAAGTTCTACCTGCGAACATGGATGCGATTGCGGCAATGGCGAACGAAATTATCACGGCTGGCCCGGCAGTTGTTTTCGAAACGGATCCTGCGAGCACGTACACACCCACGCCGAGTGTCGAACCTATTCCCAGAGCCGTGAGGTCCAACGTTGACAGGCATCTCGCCAATCTTGTGTCTTGAGGAACGTTCATCTCTTTCTTACGACTGAACGTTCTGTACAGGTTTACTAATTTCCAGTTCTTCATATCGTACATCTGAAAACAACGTTCGCGTTACCCGTTAACATCATTGGATATATCTCTTTTTTTCTTTGGAAAGAAGAGAGAAAATGAAAACAAAAACGGGAAGAAGGTAATAACAAGAGGAAATATATTTATATGGAAACGAAGACGATTGATTCGAAAGTATACATCGTGATAGCGCTGCTTTAATTCGCTCACCGTGTAAAGTACGGTCAAAAGAGAATCCATTTCTGTTCACTAATGTCGAGAGACTGCGACAAATGATCAGCTATAGGCAGAACATTCGGCTCGCGACTAAACGAACGCTAATTAATGTCTTTAAATCGGGCTCAACGATCTGTCATGGTGCGAGCGAACAGGATCATTCAATTGGTCGAAATTGCTTCGCCGTCGTAAATACGTGTGTAAGATTAGATTTATTCAGCCTTGTTTGTATCGATCATTTGCTTATTACATCGACATCGATTCGCGCCGTTTGCTTCATTGATTTTCTTGTCGATTAGATAGTGTGAAACGAATCGTTTTTCTCGCTTCAGCCAGACACGACAAATTTCAAAAATATTTGCTTTCTTGTCTCGAGCTTGTCTCATCGCTCGAAATTTGAGTATAAGAAAAATTGTCCATATTTTTACTAATTTGTTCATATCGTTCTAATCGCCAATGACGTTGGTTGTCAAATATCATCCATGTGCGTATACGTATAGTTGATAGATTGGATAATCGACATTAGACAAAAGTATGTATGAATGTGTATATATATTTACAATCAGTACTATGCATAATTTTTTTTTTTGCCGTTTCTTTTCGATTGTTCCTATTTTTCTCATAAAGTAATATGTATATATATTTCTCCGTGAATTTTTCAATCGATTTAACCGAACCGCAACGTTTTACTATATATATATATATATATTTATATATATACATACTAATTATATATATACTAAAAATATAGACTATATACTAAATATATATATACTAAATATATATACTATATATACTAAATATATATATAGTAAATATATATATATATATACTAAAAGAAAAATACTCATTTCGTAAATATGTACTTACTTCAACAGCGTAGGCAAAAAGACGTTTATTCAAGGGTCGATTCACTAAACGATACCGCCTGATACTGCTAACGCTACGAATTTATCCTGTGTGAGAATAGTTGTTCTAACAGCTATGTTTGATTGCTTATCTACATCAGATACCGAATATCCTCTAAGCGGCTGATATACGTTGTAAAAAGATATCGTTTTGTCATCATTCTTCGGTTTTCCATATTTTAGTTTCAGAGCCAATATTCATCAGATTACAAATTAAAGGGTAATAGGTAATGAACATTATAAAAACAAACATGTTACATGTTACAATTTTATTCATTTTATCAACAAGTATAAAACATTTGTTAATGCATTTCATTAAAAAAAAATTTTCTTAACAAAATGTACAAAAAGTATATTTGGACGGCATTAAACAGATCATTCAGATTGGACGGATGTCGTACACGTATTGTACCTTGTATCGTACGAATGTTGCTTGTACGATGCGATTACACGATGCTTTTAATGTAGAAACGTCATTTGTTGTTTCTAAATATGCTCCCTTTAGGCATATACACGGTATTACTGACTTACGCATATATAATTAAACTAAAAATACATATAGTATATGATTGATCTTCTGTTGAAAAAACTGCTTTTTTCCATGGAAAGAAATATCACCAGTTGTAAATCAATCAATAAATGTCTTTCGCCGATATTTGTCAGTATACTCTATACTGTAAACTACGCAAAGATATTAATGCAGCAGTTATAACTGGCCAATAAGCATGTACTCTCTTTGCCGCAGACTGAAAAGAAAGAAGCAAATACCATGTATATATTGATACATTCTCAAGCGTGCAAGATCTATAGTTGAACGATGACTTACAATAACATAGTAATTGCATTTATCCCCTTGACAACAGTCAGAACATTTCCAGTCTTGATACCATATATACGTGCAATCGTCCATGTTAGAATGTTTTATTCTTTCACATTCTTTTTTCGTTGCACATCTTTTCGAAACGTAAAACTGCTTTTTTGCTCCTTGTGACCAATACGGGGTGCCTATAAGCAACAGTAACGATATAAAATAACAATGCATTATAAGTCTTCATTAGAATTCAAATGGATGATTCATGTTGAAACGAATCGCCATTTATTGGTTAATTTATATAAACATAACCTCAAACGTTGCTTCGAAACGCATTGTCACCTACGAAAGGTAGTTGAAACTTACTTCCCCATCTGATCTCTGTTAAACAAGTATCTTGACCTTGTTCGCAGGTTTTTGTACTCTTTAAACATTTTTCCCTGTTACCCTCTTGATTGGTGCATACATAGCATTCCAGGGCGTGGCCTGAAAACATTCATCAATGAAGAAAGCTGCTCGATAAACCAGCGTTTACTTAACATACTGAACGATAGGCAACACGTGACGAAGAGGACACAATATAATTTTGTTGATTGCATCGTGAGAAAACGAACAACTACGGCAAAAAAAAACAAAGTCAGTTTGAACAACGCGACACTTGTCAAGGGAAGGATCGGCAGTCATAACGTTGGCAACAGTGACGACGTTAACGCCCTCTGTGAAATTCGAATAACTCTACAAACGTGGATAAAAGAAAATGCCGTACATTAAAATGAAATATTGTTAATTCAACATTCTTCAGTTTCGTTCATCTTCGTGTCATTTTCACTTATTGGGTTTAACCTAAAAATTCGTTTTCTACAAATTGATAAACGTATGAATGAAATCGAATCGAAGAGGAGAAAAACGTGTATTCAAAATTGATCAGATTTGCATGAAGTATATTTGCCTGCAGGTCGGTCCATGACTTTATTATTAAAATAAAGTATTGCAAGTATTATTGACCCGGGCGTTGGAACTCGAGGTATCAACTTTCCGGTTGACCGGCTTTGAGGTCGAGTTATATGTCTGCTCCAATCTATAATCACTCGAGTTCTGAATTTATTTCGTAACGAATTTTTCCAGATGAATTTGGCTTCAACTTCGCAATACGATACGACCGACATTTGCCGGTGAAACGTAACGTATGCAATGTCTATCCGAAAGACACGTATTCGGCACGATTGAATTTTAATTGTAAAGAGACAGAGGGCACGACAGAGATAACTGCAGGTAAGAAATGGATAAAAAAAATTGAAGCGAAGGTCGTTTTAGCGTGGAGAATGAGAAAAATCAGAGTTGGTACGGAAAATGAATAAGAAAAGGCGGAAAAGGTGGAAAAAAAAGAAAAACATACGGTAGATAGTAAAGAAGCGAGGCAGCGTAGACGCAAGGGGAAGGTTACCCAGTGCATTCGTTCTCCCCCTCTCTACCGTAACCCGAACTCTCCCTCGGGGTTTCGGTGAGGTCGCATGTGCTCGCGGCTTCTCGCGGATGTCGAATGTCGATATTCGAGTGCGCGGCGCAGGCTGAGCAGTAGCAGTGTCGAGCCACTGCGCCGAGAATCTAAAATTATCGGCCGGTTCACGAGAGGGGAAGGTGGATAGGCATGTGCAGAGGTGGAGAATCCGCGAGAAGGGGTACAGAGGGGGGAAGTTTCTGCCGAAGAGGGGGAGGGGGAGGTCGACAGAACGACGCAGGAAAGAAGGAAAGAGAGCGAGCGAAGAATAGAGCGGCTCTGCCTCTATGGCGGGGAGGGGGTGGGTAGGGGGGAGGGGAGAAGAAAAAGGAGAAAGATAGATGGATGTAACATGAAAGAAAAAGTCGGCGAGAAATAGTAATAGCAGTAGTAGTATGACAGACAACATTCGTCAGGGTTAATTAGGCGAGATGGCGAAACGAAGGGGGAAGAGAGTGCGGGAAAAGATGGAAAATGGAAAACGGGGGTGAAGACGACGGTGAGCTACGGGTGGGCAATGGCTGGGCAACGAGAAGAGCGATGAGAAGGGAGAGGATGGGTACGAGCACACAGGCACACAGGCACCTATAGGCTACGAGTTCGGGCAAAACTACGAGAAAACGGGAACGCGAACGGGAACGGGCGCGCGCCCTCGCACCGTTTCGCGTAGGTAAGAAGAGAGGAAAAACAAAAGGGGCGAGCGGGGATCGGTGGATGCAGGCACGAAGAAGGGCAGCGAGGAGGATGAAGAGGAGGAGGAGGAGGAGGAGGAGGTGAAATGCGGCGGTGGTGGTGGCAAGCAGAGCGGCGGCGGTGTTGGCAGCGAGCGAGGGCAGAGTCGTTGACGGTGGCCGTCGGTCTCGACACGAGTTACCGTGACAAGTGCATTACTTATCGCACGTCGAGCGAGTACACATTGGGACGCGACAGGTCGAGCACATTTCGAACAAACCGCGCAAACAAAACAGAGTCTTTCCCCTCTTTTCTCGCTCCTTTGCTTCTTTTCGTTTCGTTTCGTACCCCCCCCCCTCCCTCCCCCGCCCCCCGTTCGATTTCTTTTTTTCTCTTTTTTCCCTCCCAGACTCCGTTTTTCCAGGCGCATCGCGCTTCAACCGTGGTTGTTGGCTCTCGCTCGGACAGCTTACTCTTCCCCGGCGAGGGTCGACTCGCATACGCGCGCGACAGGCAAGTCGACTGACCTGCCGTGACAGTCTCGAGGAACAGTCGGCAGAGGTTCGCGCGTTCAGAGGGAAGAGTGGCTCCGATAGTGTGCCAGCCACCATCGAACGTCCAGAAAATTTCTGCTTCGATCATTATCTAGGAGGATCGGCTCGGTCGACGGACGCGATGGCGGACGACGAAGCGAACAACACGTGTGAGGATTCCCTCGGGCCTGGCGATGCGAACACCGCGTTCGCCAAGAAAATTCGCGGACGAAAGGGTGCCCTTAAGAAAAAGAATGTCTACGTCGTCAAGAATCACAGCTTCATGCCGCGTTTCTTCAAGCAACCGACGTTCTGCAGTCACTGCAAGGACTTCATATGGTGAGCCCTTTGAATTTTCTTTCTTTCACTCTCGATCCACCTACTAGCTACGTTATCGATAAGCCATCCATTTTTCCTCTCCTCTCCTATCGATTCTGTTCCCCACGGTCGATTTTAATTCACGCATCAACATACAATCGGCTATCTGTCTCTCGTCCCGTTGAGTTCCATTTGCAATTTCCGATTGTCTTTATTTTTCTCACTCTTCCCTCTCTCCCTCCCCCCCCCTCTCTCTCTCTCTCTCTTTCTGCTTCTGTCCTCGGTGATACATAAATCCAGTGGCCAGTAGCTGCCGGTAGAGTAACTCGAGCAACGGTTAAACAGTCCGGCCTTGAGAATACTCGTTCTTCGTCTAAATTAGAATCGGCGGCCGAACAGAGAGATCAATTCGAGCGCGGGACTTTCAAACGACTTTCAAACAAGAGCCTGGCACTCACGAAACGAGTGCTGATCGTTGCCTTCCGTCAGCACGATTGCAACGTATTGCAATGAGTAATCAGTAATCCTCGCTTCGATGGGAATCGAAGGAAATCGAGTGGCACAAGGAGTTACGTTATAGCCGGCATAAAATAAAAATAGCTTCGGCTCTGACAACAGTTGCAACTCGCAACTCGAGGAACATCGAACCGCAATTTATTCCCCATTTATTATTCCCGGCTTATTATTTGTTGTTACGTTACGCATGCAAATTTGCAATGAATTCATAGACGTGAGGAGAAACGATGGAGTAGACGTGGTATGGCATAACCCGGATGATGTCTAACGAGTAACATTTACGTGCAGTTGAAACGGTTACAGGCATTGACGCACAATAGCGAGCGACCCAGTAACCAAACTAACTTGTTTCGCCGACATCGATTTTACCGCTGAGAAGGGACGCAACAGACGTTTCCGATCTAATTCTTCCGCGGCTTTTGTCGCTGCTTCCTTCCGCGAAAGACAAGGGGAACAAGAAAGAAAAGAAAAGAGAAAGACGATCGCCAGAGCGATCGAAATCGTTCTCTTTTTTTTCCTTTTTTCCCCCCCCC